TCGTTCACGACAGATGAAACATTGTCCATCTTCTGTCTCTTATACACATCTAGATGTGTATAAGAGACAGGGCCCTTACTGGCTCTCAACGCCACTGAAAGAGGGTTGCCCTGGAAGATGCCTTTTTGGAAAAAGAACTGGTTAGAAAACTAGTCTTTTGTCCTAACAGTACCAGATATTTGAGAATAGAGGTTTGTAATATAGGCCTTTATGATAGGTGGTATATTGCACCTGTCAAGAGATATTCTAATATTAAGGAGACTAACCGTAAGGCATCTTCCAGGTCAAAACAGGTAATATGAACAGTTTTGTATTTGGTTTTACAATGTTTTATCACTTCGTGTAGGACTTGATTGTGCTCAATGCATCCACTTACGCCCCGAATAAACGCTTTCTGAGTTGATGGATTAATAATGGAGTTTTGGAGCAAGAAATCTTCAAGGCGACGAGCGATGATAAGTTGAAGGGTCTTGCCAGTGGACGAAGAGAGTGCAATCATTCTAAAGAAGAACTTTTTTTATGAATCAATGTGATGTTTGATTCTGTCCAAGAGGAAACAGGCATTCCTGATTGAAGTATCTTGTTGTATAGGGTGGTCAGGAAGTTGTGAGTGCATGGAAGGTTTTTTATTTTATTTTTTTTAGTCTGTAGGGACTTGTATCCGGTCCTGAGGCACTATTGGAGTTTTAAAATATTCTTATACCACGTGGGCGAATAGGATCCAAGTTAAAGCGGGCCATTTCTGAAAGAGGTTTGCGAAGTGGTGGGTACCAAGAAAGTTTTTCAGGATCTAAAGTTACTGGAATTGAATATTTTTAGTTGAAGTAAGAGTCTGCCTTTGACTTGTCAAATGTTGGTCGTTTGATTCACCATAGAACGTTAATTACAGCGTGTCTGTGAGGAGTTTCTTGCTAAAAGACCAGAAGTGTGTCCTGTAAAGTTTCTCTTCGTGTGCTGTACATTTATTTTTTTATTTTACAGTCGTTTAATTTTATAAGAGAGTCATAAGCCCGAAGAGTTTTAAAAAAACCGCGATTTTTCCATCTGTCGTCGCATTCTTGCAAAAGGCTTGTTTGCGGAGTTTGTTTTTAATCCATCTAGTTCCGCTCAGGGTTTTGGAATTTCGGTGGTATAAATTGTTCTATTATGGTCCTCCTTAATAAACTCCGGATTAGCTCTGAGATACTCTTCTAGGATTGTTGTGAAACACAGACTTGCCTCCTGTGGAGACATCTCGGAAACTAGGGCGTGATGAAGTGGTTGTAGTTTAAGAGCCAAGTTTAAATTATGACAGTTCCAGCAATCTTTACTTAGATTCGGAACAACGAATCTGATAAATAGAGCAATGGTACAGGCGGTGCACAGTGGGCCAGGGCGAATTCAAAGTGTGCCAAAAGTCCATTTTGGTGACTATGGCTTTTACACTTTTTTCACATGATTGAAGATGGGTATACACTGGTGAATCTATCCTGAAAATATTTTACATTTAAACGATTTTTAAGGGTAGTATTTTTCAACAAATATCGGAAATTTCTCTATAAATATTTCAAATGCTATAATTGACTACATTATATCTAAACACGTTTTTTTTTTCTTACAGAAAATTCGGAATTACTTCAAAATCCACAGGTTTCTTGTATATAAATTGGGGAACACAAATATATGTTTTGGTTTAAATTTGTAGTTTGCATCAATAATCAATCGTTGTTTAAACGACAGAAAAAAAATATTTAAAAATCTATTTTTAGAAAAGTAGGAGAGAAAGTTTAGATTCATGTGGATTCATGCTTTAATTTTGACATCACCGTCTTCAGTATAGCCTTAGCTTTATGATGGTACCAAATTTTTGCTACTTTTTGCAACTTTGCGAGCTAGACGCACTTTTATCAGTCTTGTTTTCGAACATTTGAGACACAATTTAATTAGAGCAAACCGCAAATCAGAGGGATGTACGCGCGTCTATTCAACCAGTTCATGCAATTGACAAACTGCTCGTGATTTAACAGTAGCAAATCTTCTAATATTTTGTTGCTGTTTAGAATACTTTATTAAATTTTGAGCAGTCTAATAATCCAAATATCATATATCATATCACACCAGATGATATCTACAAGCAGGCCTATATCTAGGCGTCAATTGTTTTTAAATTTATTCAAACACATCCAAGACTGAAAAGCTTCCTGTTTCAACTTAAGGAGAGGTGAGCGACTACGCGAGTACTAACGACCTTCCCAAACAAACAATAATACGTTATGCTAACGTGACAATAACGTTACAGTTTTGTTTTGAAAACTTTATTTTGTAGAACCATAAATACATACTGAACATAATTTCACAACGTTTGCACGTTCCTACAACGTTGTGTAAACGTTATTTTGTGACATACCTAACCACAACATTCGCCAAGAATGTTATAAGAACGTAAACACGTGTTTTCCGGGTTTCTAAAGAAAATAACTCGTGGCTTGACAACA